GATTTAGTGGTAGATAACAACAAATAAGAGCCCTGGTGGTGGAGTGGTTAAGCACTTGGTGCTAATCAAAATGTCGGTGGTTCGAACCCACCAGCCACCCTGTGGGAGTCTGTTTCCATAAAGATTAAACCAAACCAAACCCATTGCCATCAACTTGATTCAGACTCATAGCGACTGACTCATAGCAACCAACTAGCTCAGCGACCGACTCATGGTGACCCTATAGGACAGAGTAGAACTGCTCCATAGGAGCAGTTAGTGGATTTGAACTGCTGATCTTCGAGCTCTTGACCACTGCGCCACTAGGGCTCCCCATAAAGATTACAGCCTTGGAAACCCTATAGAGCCATTCTACTCTGTCCTTTAGGGTCTCTATGAGTCAGAATCCACTTGATGGCAACGGGTTTTTTTTTTTTTTGATACCCTTAGTCTCTTTATTCTGAGTTATTTTATCCAGTTAAAAGGATTTACCAGGTGTACTTCACTCTGATTTTTTTTTTTTTTAATTTTACTTTAGATGAAGGTTTACAGAACAAACTAGCTTCTCATTAAACAATTAGTACACATATTGTTTTGTGACATTGGTTACCAACCCCATGACATGTTAACATTCTTCCTTCTTGACCTTAGGTTCCCTGTTACCAGCTTTCCTGTTCCCTCCTGCCTTCTTGTCCTTGCCCCTGGGCTGGTGTGCCCGTTTAGTCTCATTTTGTTTTATGGGCCAGTGTAATCTTTGGCTGAAGTGTGAACCTCAAGAGTGACTTCATTGCTGAGCTAAAAAGGTGTCTGGGGGCCATACTCTCGGGGTTTCTCCAGTCTCTGTCAGGCCAGTAAGTCTGGTGTTTTTTGTGAGCTAGAATTTTGTTCTACATTTTTCTCTAGCTCCGTCCAGGACCCTCTATAGTGATCCCTGTTAGAGCAGTCAGTGGTGGTAGCTGGGCACCATCTAGTTGTGCTGGACTTCACTCTGATTCTTGCCCTAAGGAAATTTATTTGGTTGAAGGGTTTTAGTGGACATTTCTCCCTCAAGGGCTTTTTCAATCTTCGGGGAGCTAGAAATAGTTGTTTTTTGAACCCTGTAGGGCACTGAATTTCTGGACTTTCTTCATTCCTTTTCATTTTTGTTTACAAACTTGCCAACTCTTACCTGATCTCATCTTTTTCTTGTATAACCTTACCAAATGCAGACTATAGCATATACAATGAACATTCTGTTTTCCACTCTCTTCCACTAGAGCTGCAAGTTTGTTACGTACAATATCTGCCTCTCAAGTTGTAGGCAATAGCTTTATGAAATGTTTGCCATTGTATAATATGGATCATCATTTATCCGGCCTATAATGCCATTGTCATCACAACCTGCCACCTGATCACTACTGTCAGGGCCATGTATTTTAGCCTTTTGTTATGGTAACACCTCATTTCTAGGCATCAATTTCTGTATCAACATATACACTGCTATGTTATGAGAGCATACTTTGATCAGATTAACTTTTTTTTGGAATGATTATAAAACATCTTGAAAATTGAATTTGTGAAACTAAATGTGTACATTGCTACTAGCAATATCCCCAACAATCTCATGCCATTATCTTATTGGTTAAACTATGTGTGCATGCTTTCTTTCTATAACTAGATTTCAAGTTCCATTAAGGTAGAGACTGTATTTACCTGTAATAGTGGTTCCAATAAATATGTAGTGTGGCTCTAAGCATGTGGTAGAGCATAAAAGAAACCTTGCTGAATTGGATGTGTGTAGTAAAGAGTTTAACTTTGCTCAAAGAGAGGTCTGGCCTTTGCCTTCAGCTGCTGGGAGGTAATCCCTAAGCCTTTGGAATGTCCTGCCTGATAAGAGTGTCTTTGTTTATCTGTGGGCCTTGGACCACACCAGACAGTCTAACAATATGATTTATGGCAGAGGCTTTGAATCATGAGGTATCAGCTTGACCTTTGGAGGGGCTGGAGACTGAGGTCAGCCATGTAGACAGTCAATCATGTTTACTTGACAGAACCCTAAAAAAATCTCTGGACATCAAGGCTCTGGCGAGCTTGCCTGGTTGTCAATACTCCATGCATACTGTCACACATCATTGCTAGGAGGCATTAACACTGTCCATGACTCCACTGGGAGGGGACAATTGGAAGATCTGCATTTGGAACTCCTGGACTCTGCCCTGTGCATTTCTTTCTTTACCTGATTTTGTCCGGTATCCTTTCACTATAATAAACCATAATCATGAGTATAACAGCTTTCAGTGAGTTCTATGTGTCCTTATAGTGAACTGTTGAACCCCCGAGTGGTCTTGGGGAACCCAGAACTTTGCAGTTGGTGTCAGAGGTGAGGGTTGTCTTGTGGACTACTCTCACACTTCACGGGATGCTTGACCAGCTATCGTATTTTATCATGCATGAAGCTGTGTGTAACTTATTCCTGTAACCACAGAGTCTTTTGGATTATTTTCTGTAGGCTCTTGGAGTTGTCTGTAGAGAGTCCTGGCTATCAGTGTGTTGAATAAAATCTCCACTTGCATTATGGAAACTCTCAAAACTGGTAACAGCCTGAGTCATGAGTACTACAGAGGCTATCTGTTCACCATAGTCAACTGTGTATTCATCGTATATTCATTATTGTGTCTCCAGTATTAGTGCATGACTTATAAGAGGTGCTCAATAAATATCAAATGAAATAATGATCTACATCTGTTGACTCAGAACTTGATGATGGTCGATTACTAGTTTGGCACCCTGATAGATTAGTTATTTTTACCCTGAGTGGGTAAGACTGGTTGACCACTGGATGTAAAAGTTAATGTTGCTTTATTCTTAGACAAATGACCATTTAATTATCCCCTGCGATCCAGCAAATTCTTTTGTATAGAATCAGTTACTTTTAATTCAAGGTGAATTTACTGTTTCTTTTTTCAAGAGAGCTGATGTATTTTTCTATGCATTGAGGTAAGATTCTGAAAGGAGAGGAGACCACTGAAGAAAGTGGGTGACTCAACCTGCTCACTTTAATAGGCATTTAAGGGTCTATTGCATACATTACTTTGGTAGCATGAGTGATACAAATAAAGCTGACACATGGCTCTTGATTTAATAGAGCTAGCTTTACTGTGTACATGGAAGAACATATCTGGTGAAGCCTCAAAGATTCTTTATAAGATGGGCTTAGGAGCTTCAGTCTGGCTGGAAGGGGTGGCTAGGGGATTTGTCTTAAACAAATCTTTGCAGAGAAAATACATTGTTTCAATTTAGATTGTATATTTGGGGAAGAAGACTGGTAGAGGTTATTGGGGAGGAGGGTATAAATTCACCTCAAATCTATGAAGACACCAGAGAATCACCCTAAAACAATACGTAAGTAAGTGTGAGATAGACAAAATATGAGCACTGAGATAATGAAGAAGGGAATGATCTCTGAGAGGATGATTCAAGGAAGTCATCTTGTAGAAGTTAAGCTTCCGAGCGTTCAGAGGAGAGGAGCGGAGAAGAATCCATAGGCATGGACAGGAGCAACATGAATGAAAGACTCATGATCACAAGAGAATTTTCGATCAATCTCTGAGGCCCTTCCAAATGAACTCAAGAGCAGCTTCCTCTTTATTTTCTTCAGTTAAAGAAAATGAAGGAGAGTTATTCAAATATGTTGTTATACAGGAAAATAACTTTGTCTTGCTAGAAGGTGCCCTGCCTGTTTTGAAGAATATGTTCAATTTTATTTGATCTTTCTCTAGATAAAAAGTAAGTTACTGTTATTTTGGTGGTGTCTGTGTATTCCTATGGTGCAATGCCTGGCATATAACCAGCTGTCGTTGAGTCCACTCAGACTCATGGCAACCCCATGTATGTCAGAGTAGAACTGTGCTCCACAGTGTTTTCAATGGCTGTGATCTTTTGAAAGTAGATTGCCAGGCCTGTCTTCCGAGGAGCTCTGGGTGGATTCAAACTGCCAACCTTTGAGTAGTAGCCAAGCGCTTAATCGTTTGCTCCACTCAGGGACTCCTAAACCAGCTGCTGTAGACTATGAAAGGGTGACCCCATGTGTGTCCGAGTAGAACTGTGCTCCGTAGGATTCTCAATGGCTAATTTTTTTCAAAAGTGGGTCATCAGGCCTTTTTTTGGAGATGCCTCTGGGTGGACTCAAATGTCCAACCTTTCAGTTAGTAGCCAAATGTGTTAACCGTTTGCACCACCCACTATAGCATGTGCTTAATAAATGTTTGTTGAACTGAACCAGAGTGAGACAGATTAACTTTCATAGGTCATTTACAATTTCACTTCAGAGCATTTAAAGGCTTTTACTTGCTAATTCATTTCGTTAAAAAAAAAAATCATCCTCAATCAGAAATAGCCAAGATAATGGTCATTTGTATGTTGTATAAATAACAATTGTTAAGCACCAACAGAGTTCTAGCCATGAGATTAAAAATAGAATTAGCTCAGGTGGACTACCTGGAGATACAATTTCTTAATCTCTCACTGATGTTATTCATTGTTTGGTTTTGTTTTCGCATCCATAAATGGAGCTAAAGATAGTTCTTTAGTTTAATACTAAGGCTTCTCTAAAGATGATTTACCTACCACTTAAATCATAATTCATATTGCATGACTAGTGAATACTGGAAAGTAGAACATAGAGTGCGTGACAAGGGTTGTTAGCAATTTGTGGAAGAACATAAATGAGGATGATAGTTAAGAATACTCTGAGGGCAATGAGGGTAGAAGTGGGGTAGAGGAAAAGAAAAGTTTGGTCACTTTTCCTGTCATCCTTTTTTAGGGTTCTCCTTTGAATTCCCCTTCAGAAAGTAGAATAGGAAAAAAAAAAAAAAAAAGCTACATTCGTCAGTGATTTTGGGCCAACCACAACTTAAAGACAGTAAGCAGTTCCAGAGAAACAGGGGCAGTGATGGCTATAAAACCAACAGGTACTCTCAGTGACACAGCACTGACACAGAAGGAGCTTTCTGCACAAAGCAGGCAACCAGAGCAAAATGACAATGGCCATCCTGCGTGACACAGAGGTGGTGAGTATTAATTTCTGTTTAGGTGCAGTCTTCACTAGGATTTCAGAAAAGCAGATTTCTATAGAATTAGGCTTGATTAGGGTCTTTTTGGGTCTCTTTACTTTTTTTTGGTATTTCAATTTTATTTTTTTTTTTTATTGTACATTAGATGAAGGTATACAGAACAAACTAGCTTCTCATTAAACAATTAGTATACGTATTGTTTTGTGATGTTGGTTACCAACCCCATGACATGTCAACACTCTTCCCTTCTCGACCTTGGGTTCCCTATTAACCAGCTTTCCTGTCCCTTCCTGCCTTCTAGTCCTTGCCCCTGGGCTGGTGTGCCCCTTTAGCCTCGTTTTGTTTTATGGGTCTGTCTAATCGTTGGCTAAAGGGTGAACCTCAGGAGTGGCTTCCTTAGCTAAGAGGGTGTCCACAGGCCATACTTTAAGGATTTCTCCATTTTTTGAGTTTCTTTGAAAAACAGAACTGACTTCAATTTTCATTTCACTTTGGTGGAGAAAAAAAATAAGTTATAATGGGGTACAGAACATAGCTCCTCACTTAATGAATTTTGCACAGGTGGTGTTAACATGCACAGTTCTTGGCATCATAATTGGACATGGTCTGTCCTGTGACCACCTACAACACGATTAGCTTGGCCTAAAACTCTTATCTCATAGTGGGAGATAAGCCAGCATTTTAGGAGATACACACACACACACACACACACACACACACACACACGCGCACACACACACGTATATATATGGGCTCTGGTGGTGCGGTGGGTTAAGTGCTGGCTGCTAACCAAAAGATTGGTGATTCGAACCCACCCAGTGAGACCTCGGAAGAAAAGCCCTTGTGATTCGCTTCCATTAAGAGTACAGTCAAGGAAATCCTACTGAGCAGTTCTACTCTGTGACATAAGGGGTTTCCATGAGTCGGAATTTACTTGATGGCAACTAACAATAACAACATATCTTTTTTTAATGAAGAAAGCTGGGATCCAGAGAAGTTTAATGATTCCCCAGAGACTAGAGGTAGACAAGGAATGCCCTGAATGTTGGAAATGAAACCACTCAGTGCTGAACTTTGGACAGCTCTTACAGGAGAGAAATTTCCCATGCATCTGATAGCTAATTTTTGCGTTGCCTTATTCCTCTTGGAGGAGAGAGAGAGATGTTAGTGTGATGGAAATCTACTTTACCTAGGTCTGGAGTCCTGTCTGGTGTTGGTCAGGTAAGGCTTGGGAAGGATTTAATATAGAGGAATGTGAAAACAGGGCTTGGGAAATCACTCACCATATTACTGGTTTAGATAATTACTCTTTTGTTCTCTGTTTACAAGCTATGCAACTGAGAAGAGCTTGGATTTCATAAAAGGTTCAAGGCATATGATGATAACACTATTTTATAATTATATATTGTTTTAGAGATTATTAGAAATGCAGCAAAGTGCATAGGCCTTGGAGTCAAACAGATCTGGCTCCACCACTTACTGAATGTGGGATTTGGGATAAATTATTTAACCTCTTTGTGCTCAGTTTCCTCGTCTGTGTGGTGGGAATGATAATGACATCTCCCTTCTGGGGTTTTCATTTTTAAGTTTTTGTCTGGTTTTGATATAACTGAGAATGACTGAATCTATACTCTGAAATGGCAGATCTTTATATGCTTAATTTTTAGTTAACTTGGCCATTTTAATATACAACAACCAATAAGGATAGAGAAAGCATTCAATAAGAGTTAACTATTATTGGTTGTTTTAATGCATAACAACTGATAAGGATAGGGAAAGCATAATAGTAATATTATTTTTATTACCCCTGAGTGGCACAGTGGTTAAGAGCTATGGCTGCTAACCAAAAGGTCAGCAGTTCAAATTCACCAGCTGCTCCTTGGAAAACCTATGGGCAGTTCTACGCTGTCCTATAGGGTCGCTATGAGTCGGAATCGATTAGATGGCAATGGGTTTGGTTCTTTGGTTTTGAGACTCTCATCAACCCAGTGAAGTAGTTAAGGATTACTTTCTCTATTATCCAGATGACCAAAAGCTCAGTTAGGTTAAGTTATTTATTTAATATCACTGGATACTGTAAGCACAAGAATTGGGACTTGAATCCAGGTTTTCTTGCTCCATGTGCAATATGTTTCTCTTCGATTGGTTCAGGGGCAAGATTTCTGCATTTACAGTCATTGTGTCCAAACAAATCTGCTAGGTAATTTTCTGCTCCAAAGTAATTTATATTTCTTTTTTCTTTGAAGAAATCTATTGGGTGGTCAGGAAGAAACATGACTGGTACAAGCAGCATCAGAGCAGGATTAGAAGTTGGGAGGTGGAAGCAGATAGGCCATCGTCCATAAGTAGTTTAGGCAAATTCTCATGGATGCAGGAGCTGGCCAGGCTTTGGCGTTCATTCCTACATGGGGGAGAGCACAAATTGCAGATTTGCTCAGGAGGCAAATAGTGTCTCAGGTGGACTCACATTAGAGTGAGGAGGAAAGCTAGGCTGAGAAGGGTGGTGTCCTGTTACTGCTTACCTTCAGTAGGTTTCTTCTGTCTGTGTTTCCTGTTCTACAGACTGATAGCTATTTATCTACCTCATAGGTGGCATATAAGAATTCAAGTCTATAAAATGCTCTGAACCTCTCAGAGAAGATATACTATGTATGTCATTCTTAAGAACCAGTAGGAGACTTGTCAAAGTCACCACCTTGTTTTATATAACCACTAAAATCTACGGTTTCAGATCAAAAGCTTAGTAGAGCAAACTAGAGTGATTTTCACACATCATCAGATTTCCTGATAAAGGATCTACAGTACACATGCAATTCTAATGCAGTTGTGATATTGCTGAAATGCTTGCTCCTCTAATGAGACAAAGCAAAGATTAAACACTATGAGTGGCTATATATCGATAATAATAATGGGCTTCAATGGAAATAGCCCTGTCTACTGACATCCACATTCAAGTCCCCAGACTGGCACTAACAGACTGGTTAAGTCAATCAACTTATGGCCACAACTCTCTCACCTGTCTAATTGGGATAATTAATACTAGTTCTGCCTACCTCACAAGTTAGTTATGAGATGCCAGTATTCAAAGAGATGTGAAAGTGTTTTCTAAAATACTCTAAGAATATAAGCAATTAGAATAATGAATTGTTAGAAGCATGGTCATTATTGCCAAATTATATAACCCAAGGTACAGTTATTTTAAAACTCTGGTAACAAAATTAGAAGTGATTTAGTGAATATGATACCAAAGAGGAAAGAGAAAACACAAAGGAGGAATTTACTTAGGAAACCTAAGGAAGTGATTGGTAAGCTTAGCAGCTATCTCAGGACCCCCTTATAGCACTTTGTCAAGACAGAAGGTGCATGAGGGCAAATTCCGTGTTGAGCTTGTCCACTGTGCGTTACTAGTACAATGTTGATCATATACATACCCATTGCTGTTGAGTCGATTCCAACTCGTAGTGACCCTATAGGACAGACTACATGTGCCCCATAGCATTTGCAAGGCTGTAATCTTTACGGGAGCAGACTGCCACATCGTTCTCTCATGGAGTGGCTGGTGAGTTTTAACTGCCAACCTTTCGGTTAGCAGCTGAGTGCTTAACCAGTGTGCCACCAGGTCCCCTTCATATACATGTTGTTGTGTGCCGTTGAGTTGGTTCTGACTTAGAGCCACCATCTATGACAGAGTAGGCTGTTATCTTTTCCGGAGCAGATTGCCAGGTCTTTTCTCCCATGGAGCGGCTGGTGGGTTTGGACCATCTGCCTTTTGCTTAGCAGCCCATCGATTAACTGTTACGTCACCAGAGCTCCTTTGTAGAGAGTTACTTATGGGAACTGTCCATCCCCAGTAAGGGGAGGTGGTGACGGTGGGATGAGCACAGCATGGCCATGACAAAGGGAAGCTGGAGAGATTTTTTAGTTCTTTTAGTTAGGTCTTCACAGAGCACTTTCATTCTTCGTGCATTTCAGAAACACCAGATAAAGCGATATTTCAATGTAAGTATTAAAAAGATATGTTCCAGAGCTAAAGAGAAATAGTTTCCATATTCTCTGTGGTTGTGCGTTATTAGTGCCCTGTGTCTTTCAATTAGCATGGATAATTGGAACTTTGCGATAGTTGGTTTTGCATAATGTTTTCTTACCGCATTGAACTTAACTACATTGTTTAATTTAACTGTGTCATTTTGTTCGTTCATTTGCTCACCCATTCTTTCATTCATCCAGAAAGTATTTATGGAGCACCCATTCCATGAGATGTTCTTCTGCAGGAACTTACAACCTAATGGGTGCAGATCTAACATGATTATGAATACTACACTTTAAGACAAAAAAATGCTACTTGAGTGCTAGACTGTAAAAGCTTTAAGATTTTAGGATAATAAACATACTTTTGATAGAATTATTTTAGGGAGAGTTCCAGGGAACTGAGTAGGACCTTGACGGAAGGGTCGGATTTTGATAAACAGAGTTGGGGCAGGGTCTTCTAGGCGGAGGGAGGGCTGGGAGGAAGGATTTTGTGCAGGATTCACGGTCTATGAGGTTGGAAATAAAAATAAGAGCTATAATTTATCAAACATTTATTTTTTGTCATGCAGATTTACAGGTGTAAATGAATAATTTCTTTTATGAGGGTCAGTACAAAGCTGGTTCCTATGAGGCGGAGGTTAAAGTATCCCAAATGTCTAAGCTTTCCAAGCTGCTGTACCACTCCATCATCTCAAACATCAACTACTCCCTCTCCCTTCAGTACTCTCCTTTCTGTCTTTAGGTTCCTTAATTCACTGCACTATCTCACAGAACTCTCCAGCTATATAAAGGAAATGTTTCATGTGGTTGTGGAGGCTGCTAAGTCCCAAATTCATGGGTCAGGTGTAGACTTCTCCCTGGCCCTCAGTCTCTGCCAAAAGGTACTCAGCTTTCTCACTCCATGGGCTGGGAAGCCCACTGCGCCATCTCCTTTGGATCTCTGCTCCAGGTCTCTCCTTCTTTGGTGGTAGTGGGGTCTCTCTCCTCTCTGCTCTGGAACTGGCTCTCTTTTAAGGCAAAACTGACCAATCCCCTTGATGGGCCACGATTACCTTATCACACAGTCCTGCCCAATCACCTGAGTGGGAGTTACAAGACCATAGCTAGAAAGGCCACACACAAAAGTAATTGATTATACTGCAAGGTGCTTTACATAAAAAATTTCATTTAATATTGTTAATATTATCATAAGAGAAATATTATTATCTGGTTGGAAAGAAGAGAAGCTAAAGGCTCAGTGAGGAAGTCAGAGTAAGATTCAAACCCAGCCCCAGGCCCTGACACCTTCTGTCTCACTGTTGGGGAGCCCTGAGACTGCAGAGGGCTGCAATCACCAGGCTAGTGAATTTAGTTCTTAGTTCGATGCCCTGCTATTTTTAGGTATGAGTGTTCCCATTTTCAGGGGAAGACCTGGAGTTCAAAGAACCCTGATCTCATAAAAGGATCTAGTTTCCTAGAGCGGCTGTGACAAAACATCACAAAGTGGATGGCTTTAAACAACAGAAATTTAGTGTCTCAGTTCTGGAGGCAAGAGTCTGAATTCAGGGTGTTGGCAGGGCAGGGCTCTCTGCTCTAGGGGAAGATCCTTCCTTATCTCTTCCAACTTCTGATAGCCTCAGGCGTTTCTTGGTGTTCCTTGGCTTGTAGCTGCATCTTCACATGGCCAATTTCCCTCTGTGTGTCTCTCTGTGTCTCTTCTCCTTTATAAGGAGATCACTCCTATGGGATTAAGACCTACTCTACTCTGGCATGACCTCATGTTAACTGACAACATCTTCAAAGATCCTATTTCCAAACAAGGTCACCTTCACAGGTACCAATGATTAGGATTTCAGCATTAGTTTTTGGTGGACAGGATTCAATCCATAACAGACTAAGAATGCCGAGTTCTGCTGGAATGTGCAGTATCTCTTTCCAGTAAGCAATGCCAGAAGCCCTAACCAACTGTAACCTCCTCTCTTTTCCAGGTCAAGTCCCTGCTGTTGTTGATGTTGGGGCTCACCCTCCTGAAGACAGAGGCAGCTTTGAAAATCCCCAAAGCAGGGGTAATTGCCCTCCGAACACCTGAGAATTGCCCCTCTCTGGAGGACAGCACTGTAGCACTTGACATTCGCATCCTCAATAAAAACCAGGGCGGTCACACTTTACCAAACATCAACAACCGCTCCACCTCCCCCTGGGATTACAAGTAAGTATAAAGGAGACTGATCTTCACTTTCTTTTAAAAAATGTGTTAATTTGTTCTCATTATAAAGTAGAGCGTTTAGAAAATACAGACAAATAAAAATAAAAGAACTCACATTCACTCTTCTTTAAAAGCAGAAATCCTACTTTACCTGGGCCCTCACATTTTCCTTGCTGTTTTAGGCTATGTCCGCCCATGTGGTCAAAGGTCCTAATACTTTGCTTCCTGGTTCTCACTGACTCTCTGCCTTTGTCTGCTTCATGCAGTCCTAGTTTGGAATTAATAAACTTCCTGCGTTGGAAGAGAGGCCTTTTTAAAGCAGCCCTCATAATTATCTTTGCATGGGGAGAAGTGGGAACCAGATAAGTCAGCTAAGAGAGATGCATTCTGATTAGACATCAGTCTTCAAGGACTGGGGAGGAAGTAGGAGTGGAGGAAAAGGCCAGTTTGAAAAGAGGGTGTTGAGGATCTTCACAGTACAGCCTCATGATTTTGTCTTAAGGCATAGGTTCTCAGAACACCACCTACACTCTCCAAACGTAATTATGAAAAGAGAGTCCAGGAACAATGACAAGTGCTTCTGGGGTTGCCCAGGAACAATGACAAGTGCTTCTGGGGTTGCCTGCATTGCTTCCCCACATGAGTGGAGTGTGTATGATGGCTAATTGGCTGGACTGACTTTGCTGCCTTCATGCTTCCTGGTAGGGATCTTATTGAGGGAGAAGGTGAGAGAGGGCACTGGATTCATAGACCTCTGGGGCTTTGAGAACCCTCTGGCAACAAGTGTTGGCTTTTCTTGCCAAGCAGCAAGCCCTGTAGACTATATATTGGGAGACCTAATTGTGATGTTCAGGTCCCTGGGTGGTGCAAACGGTTTGCACTCAACTATGAACTTAAAGGTTGGCAGTTCAAACCCACCCTGTGGCACTGCAGAAGAAAGTCCTGGAGATCTGCTTCCATTCAGATTGTTGTCGATGTCGTTAAATGCCTGTCAAGTTGGTTCCGACTCATAGCGACCCTCTGCACAACAGAATGAAACACTGCCTGGTCCTATGCCATCCTCACAATCATTGTTGTGTTTGAGCCCATTGTTGCAGCCACTGTGTCAGTCCATCCCATTGAGGGTCTCCCTTTTTTTCTGCTGACCCTTTACTTTACCCAGCATGATGTCCGTCTCCAGAGACTGGTCCCACCTGATAACATGTCCAAAGTAAGCAAAACGAAGTCTTACTACTCTCGCTTCTAAGGAACATTCTGGCTGTACTTCTTCCAAGACAAATTTGTTCATTTTTCTGGCAGTCCATGGTATATTCAGTATTCTTCGCCAGCAGATTACATTCGCCATTAAGAGTACAGCCAAGAAAACCCCATGGATCAGTTCTACTCTGTAATACATGGGATTGCCATGAGTCGGAATCCACTCGATAGCAACAGTTTAATTTGATGTTCAACCTCTGTGTAAAAGGATAAATAATAATGATGATGATAATAATAACAACAGCAATATGGATTGAGGTAAAATAAAAACAGCTAACATTTATTGAATGCTAACATTTTATAGTGTGATGCTTAATGTACTTTTGTATCCCTGAATGCTCTCAACAATCCCATGAAAGAGATATAGGAGAACCGCCATTTTATAGTTGAGGAAACTGAGGCCTAGGGAGTTAAGCAACTGCCCGTGGGTGGTACCTGAACCCAGGCAGTCTGTATTACTATAGTACTCAGAACCGCCTTCCTGCCGGTGAGCACCCAGTGCTGTGGGCTCTCAACCTCTGTCCACCCCTGCCTCTCTTGCCTCATCATTCTGCTTTTGCCTGCTCCACTTGCAGCATCATGCGGGACATGAATCGCTTCCCCTCTTCCATCGCAGAGGCCCGGTGCAGGTCCTTCAGCTGCATCGATGCTGATGGGAAGCCAAACAACTTCATGAACTCGGTTCCCATCCACCAAGAGATCCTGGTCCTCCGGCGGGAGCCCCAGGGCTGCTTGCCCTTGAGGCTGGAGAAGATACGGGTGACTGTTGGCTGCACCTGTGTCACTCCCCTCGTCCACCACTCGGATTGAGAGCTGCACATCATCTCAGCTAAACAAGCTGTAGAAGTGCCACACCTTACCTAGCTCTCTGCAACAAGTCCTGCCTGGTCCCCACTGCTCTCCACTTCATAGGGCTTTTAATAAGACCTGTATGGAATTCTCAAAGCTCTGTATTTGATGTAGTAGTAACTTTCTGAAAGCTCTTTAGAATAATAACATCATCCTGAAATGTTCCAGTGTCCCACCACCCCCCTGAAAATGGATGGAGAGCATGAAGAAGCCCTTAGTCCACTCTGTTCATGCTCTGTTGTGACCACCTCCTAGCCATGCAGTCACCCTGATACAGTGCCACACAAAGCTGGGCGCTCTGTTGGTAAAATGGGGCCTCTGTTCCTTGTGGATCAAAACACAGAAAACACAATCAGAATGTAGGAGTGTGTGGGTAGTAAAGATGGGGACAAGGATCTAGTATGTATGTTTAGTATTTGCTATATATAGATGAGGTTGCCTGGAAGGACTACATATTTATATTTGTAAGGATAATGTCCATATATGTATGATCTGTTGATTATATAAAATTTTAGGGGAAAATTAATATATCAAGTGCTCATATAATAAAGTATTGTGGTTGAAAAAGACTTTGGGTGTTCATTTCCAGTCTCAGCTTGTACTCAGAGACCTTGTTGCCTCAAGATTTTGACATTTATTTACCTATCATTTGTTTTTCATATTTCCTTATCACAGCACCTGTGTTGGAGTTATTTTATTACTAATGGTACTTGGGGGATACATGAAGAGTTAAGGAAAATGGGGCAATAAGAACTCAGTTTCCCTGTTAATTATTTATGAAGTAAACATTTATTGCCACAGTGAATCCACCAGCCACTCCTTGGAAACCCTGTGGGGCAGTTCTACTCTGTCCTATAGGGTCGCTATGAGTTGGAATCAACACAACGGCAATGGTTTTCTTTTTTCTTTTTTTGTGCTAGCCACTGGGGAATACAAAGAACAGTAAGCAATGCATATGGAAGGGCCACAGGTGTTGGTAGTGGCCATCCACAGAGCCTCTGGTCAGTAGGGCCATGGTGGTCACTTTGTATTCCTTTGTTATGACTTCTGGGCCCTTGGAGCTTTCACCCATCTCTTATGCTTCTTGGGAACATAGGAGCTTCCAGATAGTTTCCAGGCCACTCTGGGAAACTCAGGGTCTCTCATCCATGTCTTGCACAGACACACTACACCACATTTTCTCCTTTCCCACGACCATGCCACTGACCCAGTGAGCATTAGCAGTGCTCTTGCCTTCCAGGTCCCAGAGAAGAAATGAGGCATACATTCTTGCTATTCAGATCCCCACCTCTCCAGCTCCCACCTGGGACTTGGCTTGAGAATGGGCAGGTAGCAGCAACCCTGAACCCAATTCTAACTCTCTAGTATGGGTGGGCAACTTCAATCCGGTCTGTTGATGAGGGTGGGGATGGAGTGGTTGGGTTCGTTGGCTCTTCATCTCTTTGATCCAGGATCTTTTGCTTATGGTATAAATATTGACTTTTGTACTTAAAAAGTTCAGGATTTTGAACTCTAAAAAGAAGTTTCTTCCATAGCTATCAGCCTCATAAGTGTGTCATGATCTCACAAGTTCTTTTTGATCTTCAAATCTGTGCAATGTCTTCTTTTCTCTGTTCATTTTTGCAGCAACAACCCCACTTTGAGAGTGGTACATATAATCAGCCCTCTGTACAGTTGAGTGGTGGGGGAAGTATAGAGGTGAAAGGAAATTGCAGGGGAAAAATTACACCTCTGAGCTTCTCAAGCTATTATCTCATTACACATGTACACAAGCAATTTCAAGGTAGGAAATGTTAGGAAAACACAGATGATGATAGTGCACCAGGAAATTTCAGAGGTGACTTTTGCACTGAGATGAATATGAGTTGATCTGGAGGAAAATGAGGGAAGGGCATGCCTAACAAAGGGAACTGCATAAGCAAAAGCATGGAAACAAAAAATCTGGTGTGCTAGAGGAATAGCAAGTAGTTCTATGTGCCTGGAATAGTGGGTACATGGGGACACAGTGGGACACATAATAAGTATTTCTTGAATTAATGAATTCATAAATTAATGTGGCAGTAGTCAAAGAAAAGTAGGCAAATGGCCCACTTGTGGAGGGTTTTGCATGCTCTGTTATAAGGAGTGATAAGAGCATAGTTAGCTGTATTGCCTAAGATAACTCTGGTGGTAGTGAACAAAAGGAATTGAAACCTACAGGACAGTTAGAAGATCAGAGAGAAAGCAATTTCTTTCCTTTGATAGACTCACATTGTTAGAGCACCTGTAGATCACCTGGTCAACCTTTCTCATTTGACAGATGAGGCCTGGAGAAATTAGGTGACTTGCTCGAGGTCACTTGAGTACTTACTGGCATAAACAGGTTTACTGAGTTTTCATGTTGGCTTTGTAGCACTCTATCGTGCTTCCAGTAAAGATCTATTTCAATTATTTCTCTATGTGGCCTAGGGCTGGCCCTGGGAGAGAGTACAGAAGTACCTCCACACCCAACAACTTTAAAATACATTGTACATGGTGCCCCCTGGCGTCTGGAGCACTGAGGTACAGCTTCCCTTCCCGATTTGCACTGGAAAGCAGGCATTCAGGAAATTGCATGTCCTCTCCTGCTCACAAGGTGGCACAATGCACACATACCCAGATTCCTTAGCATAGGTCGAAGGGAAATAAATGGCTGCCTTAAGGGGGGAGAATCTGTCTACTCTGGCTGTGTGACACTGCTAAGGCTGAAGGAGCAGACTGTGTTCTTCAGCCCTGTGCCCAGCTTTCTGGGACGCAGAAGTTCTTTGTTTTACCTGTAGGAGAAATGGCCTAAGTTGACCGATTTAAGTGTTCAAACACAATGTTGCCATCATAATGTGTGGAGAGAACTTCTCTTTCTCAACAGAAACCTAAAAGCATATAGCCTTTCTCTTGATATCCAGTTCTTATTTATGAAAACTTGGCTGAGAGGAAAAAAAAAATTCATTCATTCATTCTTTTTCTCTCCCTCTTTCTCCTTCCTCTCTCCCACATTCCTCACTTACGACTGAGCTCTCTATCAGCTTTGCTTGAGGCAGAGCCCCCACATGTTACATTAAAAATCCTGTTTCCTTTGCTGGGCTTCCTCCCCTCCAGCTTTGTATTAGAATCCTGCTTTCACTCGGAGGTTTATACGTAAACCCCATTGTGCCTGCCGTAGTATGATTAAAAATGTTGCTGAAGTAACTTGTATGAACTCCCTACTTGTAAACCCATTTAAAAGTAACTTGTCTCCTCGCCCTTACAGAGCAGTCTCGGTAGCAGCAGCTCCGACTCCTTTTCCTTGCACAACAAAATAAGGGTGACTTTCCTGTTCTCCCACCTCGCTCTCTTATTTATTGGCTAAAGCGAGTCATGCCGAGCAAGAACCTGGGGTTTCCACCTGGTAACACTCTGACTCCCAACCTGAGATCGAGTCAGACCATTAACTTAGCTCCATGCTTGTACCTCCTCAGTCTTTCTCTTTGGTTCCTTTCATTAAATTGTGCTACAATGCTATCCTATCAAAAGCTGCTTCAAGAAACAGACTCCTGAAACCTTTCTGTTTTGTCCAAATTGCTCAGTGTGAGAGATTTGTAAAGCTCCATTTGAGAAATTTCACTTGTAATTCACAGTGGGGGAAATGATTAAGAAGTTGGTTTGTTTTTCCCCCTCCCCCTAATTAAATAAAAGGAGAGGTAGATTGGCATGGTAGAAAAAATGCATTTAATACTCAGACAGTTCTGGCTTTGAAGCTTGATTCTACCACTTTCTGTTGTATGAGTTTAAACAATTTAGTCTTTCTGAGACCCAGCTTCCTCATACGTTAAATGAGAATGATAAATATTTTAAAGACTTGTATATAAAGTAACAGAAATTATAAAATGTAAATGACTTAGAGGCGGAGCCGGGATGGTGGAATAGTCAGATGTTTTCTGTGGTCTCTCTTACAACAAAGATACCAAAAAACAAGTGAATTGATTATATATAACAATCTAGGAGCCCTGAACATCAAAGACAAAGTTGAGGAGTCTGATTAAGCAGCAGTGGGAGGGAGAGACAGTTTGGAAGCATCGAGGAAGTATCAGACCTGACCTGGCCACCACCCTGCAGGCTTGTTTGGCTGGCGCCTGCGGGCTGAGGCAAGCAGTAGTGCTCCGGACGCATTTTCCATGTAGGTAGAAACCAAGCAGCTGAGAGTCTGCGGGGAGCCTCTGGAGCCAGGTGGCAGCAGCGCTGGAGCTGCTAAAGTTAAGAGCCAGCGTCTCTGCGCAGGATCAAAATAGTCATTCCCCCTCTGGGAAGTGCCTCTCTTCCCCTCACCTGCCCCTGCTCGCTCTGCTCTGATCCTGGTCTGGCAGTGTTCAGCGGTTGCCATGCCTCCTAGGCTGGAAGTGGGACCCTTCGTGCTCCAGCCACTCTTCAGCTTTGGGGAGGGAACAAATAAACAAATGAACAAACAGGAAAAAAGAAACTGCCAGCTCCCCTAAACTGGGAACTCAGGGCAGGCACTGCTCTTTTGCCTAGGCACAGGCATAAAGGGTCCATGGACGCTGAAGGCCTTTCACCCCTGCCTAGACCTGTGTGGGCCCATTCAACAGTGTAGGCCCTCATTAGCATAGTACAACAGGGTATATACCTGAAGCCTATTTTCAACTGCAACAGCTAAGGAGGAGTGACAGATTCATGACATTTGACACCGCCCTGCCCATTAAGCAGGGTCCTCACCTACCCACATCAGGGGCCTGAGGACTGGTGGCTCCACCCACTCCACCTAGCCACCCACAACAGGAGTCCAAGAATAAGTGGCGCCTCCCAGTCCTTACAGCAAACAGCACTGGGTGCTCAAAGTCTGGCTGCAAAACCCATCCACCTACGCCCTCTAGGGGGACAGAGACAGGCCTTCCACCTAGGCACTCAGGGGCAGCTGTCAGCCCTCTGCCTCGCTCAGCACATAACCACTT